ACAACGTAGTTGAATATCACGCTATAATGCTGAGCAAATGAAACTAGACCCAGAGGAGTCAACGCATTGTGATTCCACTTATTTGAAGTTCAAAAAACCAGGAAAAACTGATGTGTGGTGTTTTAGGATCAAGGTTACCCTTGTGAGGTGCAGGGATGATTGTACGGGAAGGGAACGTGGGTGGGAGGGCTTCTGTTCTGTTTCTTCATCTGGATACTGGTTACATGGGTGTGTTCACTTTATGAAAATTAAGCTGTAAACTTGTGATTTGTGTACTTCTCTGTGTGCTATACTTTAATTTTTTGTAAAAAAGTTAGGTTTGACAACTTTAAAACATAATTTGTTGAGATGGTTTCTGAGGGCAGGTTTTTATAATGTGTCTTCTTTAATAGCTTCATTTTTGATACTTCCTGTAATTACAACTACAGGTCATCCAGTCCCAATTAAATATTCTAAGGGGCAGTGGTGAACCACAGGTGAGATGGTGGGGATGGTCCACCCCAGGTACAGGCAATAAGGAGGGTCGTTGTCTGTAGAGAAGTTGAGATGGCAAATCTGTCTGTAAATCATTTTTGTTCTTATTATCACCATGTGTCCATAGTTGTAAACAATACCATCAGTGAAATACTCCTCAAACACACAAAATCCTTTGTTGGCCTAAGTCCTAAACAATTGGTGAAGTTAGTGTTGAGTTTTTATTTCGTATATACATATATATGCTTCAAATTAGCACACTTACATTACTTGTCCCTTATATTGCTTATCCTTTAATAGCACATGTGGACTCAGCCTTGTATTCATTTCTAGAGGAAGTTCTTAACAGTTTGGAATTATCTGAGCTGCGGTCCCCAGGGTACAGCTTCTTTCCGTGGTTGAACCGTAGATTCGGGAATGAGCAATGACGGCACAGTCGTTATGGCGACAAAGGAACAGGACTTGAGTTACTTCACTTCTGTCATTCTCTGTTACTACTATTGGAGTTTTGTATTTAAAATTTAAAACAGTGAAACGGAATGCTGGTTATTACTGAAAATAATTTTGTCAAATAAAGGCAAAGGGTCTTAAAAAGGATCCACTCTCGTCGAATCGACCAGGTATGCGGTTGCAGCGCGACAGCCACTTTCACACACATTACTTAAGCCTGGAAACTTGTAGAGCTGGAAACACGAAAGCTGTGAAAATGTCCAGCAATTTTGCTGACATCAAATTATGGTGAATACCATTCTAAACTTGGTTAGCATTTTTAAGTTGCGTATGTTGACAGATTACCGTGTATATTTATTTCTAGACTTGCTTTAGGTTTTGTGTGTCCAAGTTTGTTTATATTGTATATCTTTTGCTTGTCAAAAATAACACATCTAAAGGGAATGAAGCGAAAAATGGAGCATTAAAAAATGAAAGAAAAGAAAGTATTGTGCCTAGGGAGGAGTTGAGGTACATTTCTTAGGAAACTTCTCTCCTGGTTAAATCACCCAAGTCAATAGAAGTTGATCGTTTTTAAAAACATACGCCAACTCCGTCAGCTGTCCTGTTGGCTCCCCGAGCTGTCGCTTGTTTCCCTGTCTCCTCTCCACTCCACTCCTAACACCAGAGACACGACCTGCTTTGATAGTTCACCAGTCTATGAAAACAACTTGATTACATCAAAATAATGTGTTTGTTTGAATTACAATATTAGCTAACAATGTAGTTATAGCCCATTAATACTCTTTTTCAAAGCTGGGAATTTTTTAAAGTTGAAAGAAAGGAAAGTAGAAGTAATTTCTAATGCACCTTTCCTGCTGCATATACGCTCATTGCACCGTTGTTGGGAAGCATCCTAAATACTCCTCAGCAGGGCACATGTTACATTCTGGTACATCTGTGTCACAGAGTAGTATGCAGCCATAAAAAGAGTGGCTGTTCAGTTTTTTAAATGGCTGTTCTTTTTAAAACTGATATTCTATATCAGTACTATATGAGTTCTAAGATGTAGTTATCTATATATAAATATTTTTTTAAGCAAGGTTTTTTTTGTGTGTGAGGAAGATTAGCCCTGAGCTAACATCCATGCTAATCCTCCTCTTTTTGCTGAGGAAGACCAGCTCTGAGCTAACATCCACTGCCAATCCTCCTCCTTTTTTTTCCCCAAAGCCCCAGTAGATAGTTGTATGTCATAGTTGCACATCCTTCTAGTTGCTGTGTGTGGGACGCGGCCTCAGCATGGCCGGATAAGCGGTGCGTTGGTGTGCGCCCGGGATCCAAACCCAGGCCGCCAGTAGCAGAGCGCGCACACTTAACCGCTAAGCCACGGGGCCGGCCCTTAAGCAAGGTTTAGAAGAGTGCTTACTGGTTGTGCGAAAAAGAGGGAGTGTGTATGCTTAAATATCTAAATGCTAAATATCTCTAGAAAGACATTTGAGAAACGGATAACATTGGTCACCTCTGGGGAGGTTGGCAAGTTCAGGGGTAGAAATAAAACGTACACTCTTTTTCCAGTTAGATTTTTTTTTTCCTTTATTTACCACCTGCATGTTTTTAGTGTTTTTAGAAAAGCTAAAATTTGTTGGCACAAACTACGTCATAATAGAGCATAAACTCCGCCACTGCCAAACGCGCCTTGTTCTCAGCTGGTGCAGAGCGAGGCAGCGGCGGTTCTAGCGAGCCCACGTCCAGTGCACGCCAGGTGGCCGCTGCCCTGGAAAGCTGAATGCTGAACTAGTGTCAGCGCTCCTGGGTCCCAGGAGGTTGGTACTTTCTCCCCTGGAGGCTGGAGCTCAGGTAGACCTGGGGGCCTCTCCAGCCTTCGGGAGCCCAGAATCAGATACAGTCAGGCCAAGACATCCAGTGTTTCGCACTGAGCTGTTCTTTCATGGAGCCCAATGTCAAACCTTTGAATGTAAGAAAAATGCACACCTGGGTGTTTTTATTTATTTACGATTTATGCCCCACATAATTCCGAAAAGCAAAATGTGAGGGAGCGTTACTAAATTTATGAATAATGTAAAGCTGGATAAGTACAAGTAAAAGCAGATTGGAGCCCAGTAAAGGGAGCTGTACCCTGGTTGTTAGCAGCTATTAGGAGGGCCGGGATCAGTTGATTACTGTAGTTGAGCACTGAATTTAGCTTTGAATTTCTTGGCACGTAAGGAAAAAAGGGGAATGTAAAGTTTATGGTTCTTTTTATTTGAAGCCAAAAAACCTGAAGTTTTGCCTAAGGAAACGGACATTTTCCTGGTACTCAATTCAAGAAGAAAATTCAAACGCAAATCCTTATTAAAAAAATATATAGGATGACTCAGGTCTTCATGGTGGTTAGTGCCTGTCAAGGTATTAAAATTAGCTAGTCAAAATGCACCAAACCTCACAAAACTGAGTTTCATTTGCGTATCAAATCCACTTTTGCTGTCTCAGCAGCCACCACGGTGGTCCAAACATCGTCTCTCGTTTGGACTGCTTTGATGGCCTCCTGACACATCCCTATGCTCAGTCTTAACTCTCGTCCAGAGTTGTCTGCATGCTGTGGTCAGGGTGCCTTTTTGGAGTGCAAATCTGATCGTGACCAGTCACCGTCCCCATCCTAAGCACTTACAACTCCTGTCTCCCTTGGTTTTAGGATATAAGACCCAAACCCTCCCGCCTCCCCAGCCTCTCCTTCCACCCTCTCTCCCCTGCTCTCTCTGTTCCAGCCTTTTTCTGGTCCTTGTTTCTGGCTGTGCACCCTTTGCACACTCTCTCTCACGGCATGCTCCACCTGCATAAGCCACTCTTCTTTCTTTGGATCTGAGCTGCATCATCTTTGGAAGCTTCCCTGACCTCAAGGGTCCCCTCCCCACTGTTTGTTCTCACGTCCCCCTGTGCCTTCTCAGGAGTGCTTATCTCTGTCGGGATGTCCCCCCTCCTAAGTCTCTGAGCCCCTTGACAGCAGGGACTGGCTCAGCTCTCGCTCATCTTTGATCCCCAGCTCCACACCCAGTGCCTGGTGTGCAGTAGGGAGTCAGGAGATATTTGAGGGCAGGGAGCCATAAACGGTGATCTGGCCGCTGCAGCAGCCTGCCAACCTCCTTTTCCAGTGGGCATTAGATTATGCTGAGACGTGTGTCCCGGAAGCACACCTCTAACCACATCGCTTCCTTGTGCCAAAACTTTCAAGGGGTCCCCATTTCGTACAGGATACAATCCACACCCCTTATATTTAGCGCTCCAGGACCTGAGCCCTAGCTGCATTTCCAACTCGTTTCTCCTGGTCTCCTTAGTCCTTGCACTGTAGCTAGTGGTCCCTCAGCCCTTCTCTGCGTGTTCAAATCTTCACCATCCCTTACATAATACCCCTGGTTGAAAGTATTGCTGTCCATTGTCTGAACTTCGAATACCTTTGACATGGTAGTTATTTTTTATCTAAATGATAGCTGTTTTATGTACACGTCTCCCATATTGCGTTGTAGTCCTATATAGTGTCTAGCACAAGCCTCACATAGTAGGTGATCATAAAAATATGTTAAATGAGTGAGAATTTGTATTAATTATTTAGCATCTTTGTAAGCCAGTCTTTAATAGGAACCATTTCCCCTCTGGATGCTGTCATTTGTAGCGAAGTTTCTGTTTTTACATACATAACAAATGGCCAGTCAGCGACAGATTCTCCTGTTCTTTTAAACGTATCTACAGGTTAGTGAATATGAATCCAGTTCATAGACTGCTTTCTGCACATATTTCAAAACCTCATGGATCTTTTATTACAAGGGTACAGTATTATTCTGTATAAATGCAAGAAAGTAAAACAAAATAGATACATGTAGCATGTCATTTCAAGGGATGACTACCCAAATTAACACTCTCTGCAAAAATTGACCAAAGGGCCATAGAACTTGTGTCTAGATGAGCGTCACCTCACCGTCTCCCCGAGCCCCCCCTGCCCTCCGCTCCGCCGGAATGGCGGAGGGCTCACCCTGGTGGTCACTGCTTGTTGCCGTGACTCCTGTGATGAGAGAATAACCCTACCTCTGTTTCATTTCCAACAGGCCGATTTAAACTGCAATATTCAAGATGATGCCGGGGCTTTTTACGGTGTAACCAGTCAGTATGAGAGCTCTGAAAACATGACAGTCACCTGTTCCACCAAAGTTTGCTCCTTTGGGAAGCAAGTAGTAGAAAAAGTAGAGGTAAGTTGGTCTCTGTGTACCGGAACCTTCCTTCCAGGGCAGACTGTTCCCTTCCTTTAAAGCTTCGCTGGGGCAGCAAGTTTTACTTTTTGATGTCTCCTCCTTCCCTCCCCCTTTCTTTTCCTTGTTGCTTCTAAAAAGGCAAAATGATTTGAAAGCAGCTGAAAGAAGGCAAGGAGGACGTCCCTCGGCAGGCCTCCCTGGCTGTCTGAGGTTGGCCCTGCCCTGCCCTGCCAGCGGTGTTCAGTGCCGCCTGCAGCCTCGTGGGGGTGCCCTGGTGTGGAATTGGGTATAGATAGGCCCTGCTGCCATCAGACGATGCCCTCCCACCCCCAGCTCCACGGGCACTTCCGGGCACGTAGATGACAACCCAGGTGGTATTCAGCTGGCTGGTACCTGCCTTCTGAGACCCTGACACCTTGGGTTTGGTATTGTTGCTTTTGCCATTTCCACTCCCTTCATTTGAATTGTGTTAAGTATATTTCAGTACGTCTTGGGATCAGATCCCTATTTATGGCTTTTATATTTCATGCCTCTCTCCCTTTCAAAAAATATATGTTGGTTTTACCAGAGAGGGTTGCTTTGTGTGAATAATGTTTGCTGTTGACCTTCCATCCAGAGTTGTATTTTCCATTGTTTTCTACCCATCACCCAATCGATCTGTGTTCAGGGGTTCTCTTCACAGTGGCCCTGGACCTCGCAGGTCCGGGAGCCCAGCCTGACTGACAGAGACTTTGTGCTGAGCTGTGAGAGAGCATGCACTAGGGGAGACGGCCCAGGGTATGGCTTTAAGACTTTGGGCTGCATGATGAGGATTTGGGCTGCTGCAGGCCCTTATCGCCTCCTGAGCACAGGACGGGCCTCCTGAGGATGGTGTTGAGGAGGGTTACGCTGGCAGAAGAGGATAGAAGTGGGTTAACTAGATGGTCGACATAGCTTAGGGGTCATGAGCTTTACTAAAATGGTGGCAGTGGGAAATCCAGTAAGACATTTTGAATGGAACTTAGAAACAGACTGGATATTAAAAACGAAAGAGGAGGAAGAGTCACACATCTTATGCCTGGAAGGACAGTGCTGCCGCCAGCAGAGGGAAGGAGATAAGGTGCTCAAGAGGAAATAGTCAGGGGACGATTATAGACGCAAGATAGAGCTTGGGAGACAGGTCAAGACTGAACGTGTCAATTGGGAATCCTCAGCATTAAGGATGATTAATGCTATGGGAATGGAGAACTAGCTGCACAGAGAGACTCCTGCAAGAGCACAGGAGAAAGGATTAAATTTGGGGAGCAGCAGCCAGCCCTGGGGTGAGTGGAAGGGAGACACAAACAGAGGAGCGGAGGACAGAAATGGATGAGGGAGGAGGAGAACTGGCTCGGTGCCATCGATGTCTGGGAAGCCCAAGGAGAGGGCAGGTGAGAAGGTGGCTGTTTAATGAGACAGGACCGGAGACCTAGAACCAGTGACCCCCATCTCCTCTGAGAAGGAGCAAGCAGAGTTACCTGTCTGCAGTTGGAAACGTGAAGGTCAGTGATAGGCCTTGCTAACCAGGTTGTCAGGGCTTATCTGTACGTGGACTTCCTGCCTGGACAGGTATGTGTGAGAAAAGATGAACCAGACTAGTTAGTTTCCCAGATTTCTAATTATTCTTCATCGCGTCCTCAGATAACACACCCAATGCTCTATGCAAGTTCAGGGAGCAGAGAGGGGTTGCTTCTGACTGATGAAATCCCAGAAATTTTCATGGAGAAGGTGGTCTGAGGCGTGGCAGGTGGAGCTTTATAATTAGCCTGTAATCCATTTAGAATGTATTTCTGCATTTGGCGTGAAATGGGAATCTGCTTATATTTCCTTCTAAATAGATAGGCATTTGTGTCAAAACCAGTTATTAAATAATTCATCCTTTTCCAGCTGTGCGTGGATCTGTCCCCTTTACATTACTGCATACACTGGAAGCTGTTTCTGGAGTCTCTCTATTCTATTCCACTCTCTATCTCAACTTGTCCCAATGCCATGTTGATTTGAGTACAATGGCTTTATAGTTTGTTTTGATATCTGCTGAGGCAAGTCAATCTCACTATTCCTCGTTTTCATATATTTTCTAGGCTAGTAACCAGCATTTATTCTTCCGAATAATGAGATCATTTTAAAAATGTAAAGAAAAAAGAACCTTGTTTGAGCAATCTAATTGTAATTGCATTAGATTTAGATATTAGTTTGGGATAAATGGATATATTATTGATATTAAATCTTGTCAATCAAGAACTTATTTGCATTTCCAACTCATTTTATCTATTTTAATAAGATTTTGTAGTTTTCATATATTTCTTGTTATATATATATGTTTCTAAATATTATATAATTTGTTAATGCAATTTCCCATTTCTAGATTTTAGTTACTAGAATAGAGAAAAGCTCTTAGTTTTTGCGTATCAGTGTTCTATCTGGCCATCTTGCCATATTTTCTTATTTATCTTTAGTGGCTTTTTTCCCCTAAATTTGTGGATTTTCTGTGTATATAATCTTAGCAGCAGCAAAAAGAGAAGGCTTTATTTTATCTCTTCTTTTCCAATGTTTATGCCACTTTTTTTTTTCTCACCTTCTTTTCATTTGCTAAAACCTCCAACACAGTTGTAAAAAGAAATAAAAGAACTAGTGCTGATGAGTATCCTTGTGTAGTTACTGAGGTTAGTAGGAATGGTTTTGGTATTTTGCCCTTTAGCATTATAGCTATTGTTGGTTTTTATACATGGCCTTTATTTTATATTTAAGCGCTTTCTTTCTATTCCTATTTTAGGGTGTTTATTAGTAATCACTGCAATATTTTACCAAATGCCTTTTGGGCAGCTCTTACCATATGATTTTTCTCCAATTTGTTGACATTACAAGTTAATACATGTCCTGTGTATGAACCACCACAGCATTCCTGAAGGAAGTCCTAGTTCGGCTACATTGATGCATTTTGTTTATTATTTTATATAAAATTTTTGCTTCTTGTAAGTAGAATTAGTCTATACTTTTCTTTTTTATGAGCTCTTTATCAAAGTTCAATATTAAATGCACATCAGTTTCATAAAAAGAATTGGGACGCCTGCCTTTTTCTGTGGTCTGGCATAGTTTGCATAACATTGAACATAACTGCTCTTGAAAGGTTACATAAAACTTGGCTGTGAAACTACTTAGTCTTTACACGTTTTTCAGTGTAGACGTCTAAACAGCTTTCTAGTCATTTCCACAGTAGTTGGCGTGTTGGAATTTTCTACTTCCTTTTGCTTCAGTATTAGCAATTTGTATTTTGCTGGAAATCATCCTATCTTCTAGGTTTTCTTTGCTTTTTTTTTGCCTTAGAGTTTTGTAAAGTAACTTCTTATAAATATTCTACTCTACTATAATTGTGGTTTTGACTCCTTTTTTCTCTTTATTAAGCTTTGAAGGGTTTATCTTTTTAAAAAACCAGTTTTTAAATTTGTTTTGTCTACATTTTTTATTTCTATTACATTGATTTGAGCTTTTATCTTTATTAATTTCCTATTTCTGGTTTCCTTTGGTTTCTTTGTGGTTTTTGGTTTATTTTGTGGGTTTTTTTTTTTTAAGTTATGTATTTAGTTCCGTAATTTTTCCTCTTTACTGATGAAGGCATATGAAGCTGCTTGCTTAAGTTTCCTTCAAGTATAGCTTCATTGGGTCCCAGAAGTTTTGATGTGAAGTATTTTCCTTTTCATTACTCTTTAGATAGTTTGTAATTTCCATGTTAATTCCTCTTTGATCCAAGATTATCTAGGAGTGTGTTTCTTATTTCTGAAGACTTCAGTGGGATCTTCAAACTGCATATATTCCAGTATTTTCTGTCTTTCTTTAGTCAAGACATAAATAATAGTCATGGGCTCATGATCCATGTGAAGTCATTTTTTCTAAAGTAGAGAAATTAGCTGCATTGGTTGTTGGCTTGTGAGGCTTTATGACAGTAAAGGGATTTGGAGGGGGCTCCTAAAAGAATTGTGACTGGCTGGGTCTGCTCTCCCAGATCTGCAAGGAGAGAATCACTGAGTAGGTGGTTATATTTTTTTCTGACCTTTACTGAAAAAGATCTATAGAACTCTTTTAAAGCTATCATCTTTCCAACTTTTTTTTTTAATTTCCAGAAAAATAATGGATTCTAAGTATGATGTTAAGTTTGGAGATAGGAATTTTTTTTAACTAAATAATAAACTACGTAAATAGTATAGCATGTAGCAGATGATTCGTGTTGGAAAAGTAAAATGCTTTTGCAGGTGGTAATATCTGTTTCATGAATTTTGAAGTCAAAAGTGTAAAAATGCTCAAATCCTCTTTCCCTCACAGACGGAGTATGCAAGGTTTGAGAATGGTCGCTTTGTGTACCGAATAAACCGCTCCCCGATGTGTGAATATATGATCAACTTCATCCACAAGCTCAAACACTTACCAGAGAAATATATGATGAACAGTGTTTTGGAAAACTTCACAATTTTATTGGTAACTGTCTGTCTCTTTCCTGTTGTGGCAGACTTGGTCATGAGGCTGGTGGGGACAGACAGGAAGATGGCTCTGGGAGGCACTGGGGCTTGTGCCAAGGGAACTGAACTGGCTGTTGAGTTGGGCCCCAGGTGGTCAATCAGCAGTTGAATTCACACATCCACAGGGCAAACTTGGGCTTGGTGTGGGCTCAAGTCTATAGAAGAGAAGAGGTCTCATCTGGCTGGGGTCTAAGCTTGGCAGAACTGGACTTCAGTGGGGGTAATAAAAAGTGATGGTCCTAGATTCTTAACTCTGGCGGCATATTAGAAAGACCTGGAGAACTTCTAAAAATTCCTGATACCAAGACTGCATCCTACATCAATTAAATCAGGATCTCTGAAGATAGGACCCAGGCAGGTGTATTTTTTAAAGTTCCATAGGAGATTCCAGTCTTAGCTAAGTTTGGAATCTCAGCAGCAACATAGTGCGCAAATCATAAATGAGGCAAAAGCTGAGTCAATAGGTTTATACTTCAAACATACCTTGACTGATTTCATGAAGCATTTGTAAGGCCTTTTAAGAAGTAACATATGTTAATATAGCAAAATATAAACTCCCAGTGCCAAGAGAAATATAAATTAGAATAGCACATCATGACCGGGGCTGGGGATGTTCTTCATAGGCTGAAAGGTATGGTCAAAGCTTAATGGGCAGCTAAAGGGAGAGGTAAAAACCATGGTACTCAAGGGCCACAGTGGGAGAACTTTCCAGTTCCCCTGGGCAATGCTGTGTATGTGGGTTTTTTCCCCTAATGTTTAACTTGAAAACAAATTTTTCATGGGGGCCTTCGTTTGGGGACTTGGGAGGTTTATTGAGAACAGTGTTGTTCTCAAAATATACCTATAAAATATGCGGTAATGGGTTTCATAAGGCTCACTTTTTAAAAAGAACATTTCTTGATTAAACTAAAGGCAAAATGCCAAAACAAAACTTGGTGGAAACAATTTTGCTAAAAGGGGCAGCAAGACAATATTGTGGTCAAATATTCAGCCCCCGAAGGCCTGCGTTGTTACTAGGATTAAGAACTAGAATACTTAGAGCAGGAATTATTGAACTAGAGTTTTGAATCCATTGGGACAGTGATTCTCAATCAATGATGTGCTGGCAAAGAAAAAGGCTCTACCTCAGCCCCCTAAAAAACCCTGATTTATAACTTTTCCCCATTTTTGTGGTGTCAGTATACCCTCCATGGGCAATTTCAGGCTACCAGTGGTTGTCCAGCTCATGAAATTCCCTAATATTTAGCAATAACTTTCAAGAGCCGGTAAAAATGAATAAATAAAAATCTAAAAATGAAAATCCAGGGCTGGCCCCATGGCCTAGTGGTTAAGTTCAGTGCACTTTGCTTCGGTGGCCTGAGTTTGGTTCCCAGGCTCAGACCCGCACCATTCGTCAGCGGCCATGTTGTGGTGGTGACCCACATACAAAGTAGAGGAAGATTGGCAACAGATGGTAGCTCAGGGCAAATCTTCCTCAGCAAACAAAAAAATTAAAATCCTTCTGCATATCAGATTCATCCAGGAAGCTTTTAAAAATTCTGAGGCCTGGGTGCCCCCTCAGAGGAATAAGATCAGAATCCCTGGGGGTGGGGCCAGCATCATAGATTTTGTTTGTTTGTTTCTGCAGCTCCCCAGGTGGCTCTCCTGCACATTGGGTGTTGGGACCCCCTGCTACAGGAGATTGCTCAGTGAGCTGCAGGGGGTCTCAGAGTTCACAGACACAGGATTGGCATGCAATTGGCAGAGAGATAATTTGGCATATAATTTTCATTTATTCTAGGGAGAGAATCTCAGTGGATTCTCAGATGTGTCCATGTCCCTTTAAAATTTAGAAACTAGCAATCTGGGAGAAAGTTTGGGAAACATGTTCTTTAATAACTAGTATTCTTTTCTCTAATGGTCTTGGGTGAAAATTGAGCAGTTCATGGTTTGGGGTACTGGTAGCAATTAGTCATATAGGTGTTCTCTGTGCTACTTAAGACCAGATGGACCACCTTAGTGCTCAGATGAGCAGGTGAGTGTGGCATCCTGGTATGGACCTTAAATAGCCTCAGGAATAAACCAAAACTTTGAGTGAATGGCTACCCTGCCTCTCTTGGATTGAGTCTTAGCTGTTTCTTAAAAACCACTTCTGAGTCTGTTTCAGCATTTTAAGGAATAAGTCCACAGCCCCCAAACCGTACCTTAGAGCACAGCCAAGGAAAAGATGGCCTGGGAAAATTTTAAAGCATCTGTTCCCCACAAAACCCATATAACTGTACCAGTGATGTTCCCTTAGAACACGTGACTTCAAGCAGCATAGACATCCAGAGAACTCACCAGGTTAAATTAATTTTAAAATATATCATTAAGCGACTAAACTCCTTGATATGAAGAATTAGTAGCTCTCCATAAATATCTGCTAGAAATAATATTTTTCTTTAGAAAAGCTGAAATGAAGCCAGCATTCCTAGATTATGAAAATAAAATTATCTCATTGATCAACAGGAGAAATAGTATTTTTCAGCTATTCCACGGCGGACGGTGCGGGGAGCGGAGAGGGTGGGGGGGCAGGCGGGTGTGTAGGAACACAGCCAGGATGGCTGCTGCTGGACACAGTTGTAGGTGTTTTGCTAGGTACATTGGATACAAAGCCTGTGTCAAGAGGACCAGTTCCAGACCTTGGTGCCTGGTGGGCTAGACTCTCTGATTTCATCAGGATGATTCAGGAACTGAAGTGACCCTGGAGATGTGGGGCCTTAGTGACAGTAACCAAACAGACCACAGGAGACAGCAACTGAACCATGGGCCAAGCATTCCTATCATCTTTTGAGGTCATATTCAGACACACAGGTTGCTAGAAACATTTTTTTTCTTTCCTCCTTTTGAGTCTCAATCATGAAGCCTAAACAGGATATATTCTTTCATAGAAAGTTTGCAAGAAGTTAGGCTAGATCGTAGAGGTTCCAAGCACAGTGCTAAATCTTTCATAAATATATTATGAAGTTCTCACTGCAGAGCTGTGAGATGATTTTTATTCCCATTTTATGGATAAGGAATGTTAGACCTACCCAAGGTAACAGAGCCAGTGATAGATGTAAATTAAGACTTGAATGATGGAAAAGACACTTTGCGGAATGTTTCATGATCATGGAGTCAGAAGACTTGGGTTTAAGACCCAGCTCTACTTTATGACTTTGAGTAAGACATTTAAAGTCTCCAAATCTGAGTTTTCTCCTCCATTTACAAGCAAAATGCTCAAGTCTGTATTCTCCACTGCAAAAGTTATTGAGAATGTTTTAATTCATTCAGCTAAACTATGGAGAGATTGTACTAGCTGCCAGAATACAGTGCAGATAAAACCCAGTGCCTGTCTCGTAGTAAACCTTGGCCTGGTAGGGGAAAGAGGCAGGTAAATGAATGATTACAGTGAAGGTAACAATGGCTGTAGTATACTTGTGGAAGGACAGAGTAGTTTAACTTAAGCAGGTACCTGTAGTTGGAGTGAGGTGGGAAATTCTCAGGGATGTTAAAAGATGCTGTTTAAGTTGCCTTGATGGTTAAACAGATATTGTGCAGATTTACCAGAACAAGGGCCATTCTGTGGGTGCATACTGAAGCGTCAGGTGCTGAGATGCAGTGAGCCAGACAGGTGGGGCAGCCGCCCTGGAGTCTGGGGAGGGAGGCAGGCGTTCCTCCAGCGTCACAATGAATGTAAGCTAAATGTGGCTGATGGCTGTCAGAGGTCAGTATGTGGTGCCAAGAGAGTGTGTAACAGGAGGATTTGACCTGGTCTGGGGGTCAGGGAAGGCTTCCCTGAGGAAGAAGCAGTTGAGAGATACCTGCCAGATGCACAGGCAGAGAGGGTAGGGAAGAATACTGCAGATCGACAGGAGCACAGCGCGCAGAACTGAAAATAAGGTGATGTGGCTGGCACGGAGAGAGGGAGGGGGCCAGGGAGCTGGCTGGGTAGGAATGGCCAGACTGGGCAGGGTCTCCTTGGCCTTGTAGGCTGAGAACAGGTTTTCTATTCATCCTAAAGTTTTCAAGTTTAAAAGAGATCGTCAGGGCATTTGAGCAAGAGCATGTTGTGTCAGATTTATATTTCTTACACGGTTTTCGTGGCTGCCGTGTACAGATGGGGGTAGTGCCGAGCAAGGGCGGCTCCTGGTAGAGGAGCCCGGGAGAGGTTTGCTGGTACCTTGGGCTGGGGCGGTGGAGAAGAGGATGGATTCAAGAATGATTCAGGAGGTAAAAGCAGGAGGACCTGGCATTCGTTTGGGTGTGGGGATGAGGGGGAGAGAGATTTCAAGGATGAAAGACCTGCGTCCTTGGAGTATTTGATCTGTGAGGGAGGTGGCAGGAAGTAAGACTAGAAAAGCAGGTGAGTGCTAGTATTGAAACAAGTCTTCATTACCCAGAAAAAAACATGTAGATAGTCCCTCACTGTATCAGTTCATTTGTCTAGAGCAGTGCGGCATAATGGTTAAGAAAAACATGTTGGCATCAGATCTGGGTTTCTTCGTTGACAGTTCTAGAACCTTAAACAAATTAAGCCCCCAGCCTCCTCCTCTGTCAAAGAGGGCGTGATATAGCACCTGCTGATACAGTTGTTGTAATATCATATGAGATAATGTGTGGAAAGCATTTAATACCGAGTAGACATGTACTAAGCAGTCAATATATGTTGGCTAATATTATGTGAATTATCATTCATTCAGCAAATATTTATTAAATGACTGTTGTGTGCCAAGAACTAAGCTAGATACCAGGAAACGTGGTCCCTGTTCTTCAGGAACTTACAGTCCACTGGATGAGGTGGGCATTAAAAAAAAATCATACAAATCTGAATATACGTACAGACAGTACGGCATGTTATGATGGGAAGATTACAAGCGCTATGAGACTTATTCTTTAGTTGGGGGCCATGAACTCAGATGTCTTAAGGGTGAGGGACACTAAATGAGTGAAGCAGCCCAGTACGTAATGCGGAATGAGGCCCCTGACTAAGTGGACTAGGCTCTCAAATTCAAAATGTTTGAGAACACTGAGCTGGCCTAACAAAATACACGTGAAACAGTCATGAAGCATTTTGAGTGCGGAAGTTGGGCTGGATTTGCTTTTAGAAAGTTCCTTCGGAGAATGACGTGGGGAAGTGAGACAGAGTGAGGAGGGGAAGGAGGCAGGGTCCCCAGTGGGAGGGGGCCTCAATGATTTGGGCCAGAGAACAAGTGGGCATGAGGACAAGAAAGATGGATTCGAGGAACTTGACTCAAGCAGATGAATATTTCAAAATACATTTTGAAAGGTGAAGCCTAGATAAATGAAAAGAGTGATCATGTGACCTGATTCTGCCGCAGCTCCTTGACCTGGCACATATTCTACTGAGTCCAGGCACTGCTGGTTCGTGGTGGTGAGCAAGGCGCCCGTGGAGCTTATGTCTGTCGTTGGCTGTTGTAAAACAAATTTAGTAAAAGTTTGGGAATAAGATAGGAGACAATTCCTAGGATAAATGACTGTTCCATGGGACAGAATTAGAGAAAATCGTCTTTGTTGTAAAGAAATCAGCTCCCCAAAAACCCACATTAATTCTCATGGTCTCTTCTTGGGCTCAGATTTTGAGTGAGACTGTGTCTGTAAGGTCCTTCTTACGTATGGTAACTAGGCTTAAGTAGGATTCCAGTTGGACTGGAATTTGTGCTATAAGGGGGCAGAGTGAGGCTGCACAGATCTCTAATAACCCGCTTGTTGGACTTTAGACTGTTTCTCTCCATGTGAGTCATAGTCACCATGGCACAGACAGAATATGTTTTCATCCATGTGGTGTTTTATATATATGTATATATATACTTTTTTTTTTTTTAACAGGTGGTAACAAACAGGGATACACAAGAAACTCTCCTCTGCATGGCCTGTGTATTTGAAGTTTCAAATAGTGAACACGGAGCACAACATCATATTTACAGGCTTGTAAAGGACTGAACATGGTTATTTATATATATAGATATCTGTATATACACACACACACACACACACACACACACATATGTGCGCGCACACACACACTCTCCATTATCGAACGACTGACTGTAAACCTCACCACACAAGGGTGGTGCCCCGGCTCTGAGGTCACCCTGACTTTTCTAAATCCTGTTTGAGTGAAGTCATTTTTTCATGTGTTCATCCTATCATTGTAGCTGTGAAGTTCTGGTACAGTTGTAAAAAGAGAAATCGAGTTGTTTCTATGTTCTTCAGATCTGCAGCCCACAATTCCTCGGCAAAGTTGAACCTTAAGACCCCAAGTCTCTGTCTGCAGAGACCTGTTTTTCTAATTGTGGTAGAAAATACTGAGACAGAGCATTTGCCATGGGACATTTACAGCCTTTATACAAATGTATTTAGTTCTTTTTTTTCCAACATGAAATTCTTGTTTTAAGATACAAGTAAAATTAATCTTTAAATATAAATGTAAATTAGTACACAAAACTAAGAATCTTTAGACTTATCTTTGTAACTAATTAGGGTGGAAGTTATGAAAGAATGTAATTCACTAAATTATTTTTTAAATGAAACTTTTCTTTCTTTTTGAAACCAAATGTTAAAATATAGCCTTAAGAAATGCTTAGTAGAAGTATCCTAATGAGACAAATTTGTACTTTTTTCCTCAAGGTTAAAACTAATCTCCTAACCCATTAAACTCTTGAACAGGTGTTACAAAGGAAGAAAACTTCACCCCTTATCCTTAACATATATAGTATATTTAAAAATATAAAATTGTACTAATGTGATGATTGATTATTTAATGAAAAAGAAAAGATGGCTCTTTTTGCAATAAGTAGATAAATACTGAAAATCTAAACTTACAATGTTTATAGTCTTGTGTGTGCAGTTGTATTTTATATGAACAACCAAATTTTTTATTGAGATGAGTAAATATTTGAACGGCTGAAATTTAATAGCGAAAATTTAAAATTGGCATGAATACTGCACTGTGAACTACAAAGTATAGAAAGTCCTGTGGCTGGGAGAAAATTTCATCAACCCAACAAGTAAAAGGCTCATCAGTTTTACCATCTCTGCTCCCCAGAAATTCACAAGCATCCTCACCAGCCTGTGGATGAATTCTTTATTTCTGGTGATCCAGTATGCATATTAACCTGCTAACTATATGTGTATGTATGTGTTTGTGTATACATATATACACATATACATATATAGTCATTCAACACATTTATTGAACATCTGTTTAGTGTCACTTGGTTTGCTAGGTGCTGATATGTATGCATATCTCAATCTGTCTGTAGATCTAGATAGAGTCTCTAAGGCCATCCATTTCCTTGACATCTCTCAATAAGTCACAGTACTTGTTTAAGGTTTAAGAAGCCCAGTTCGCTATCTCTGACCTTTTCAAATAGCCTCGTTGGAGAGGTTCTCTTCCCGGGAGAGATTCAACTTTCCAGCCCACATATTCCAAAGCCTGGCCCAGGCAGAGTAGGTTTGATGTGGCCACATGTCTTGGGCTATTTCCGTAAGTGCTTCATTGGGAAGGGGACAGGGCATACCTCCCTAACTTCCCAGAGGAAAGGGACATTTTTATAATTGTTTTAGGAATATGTTGACACAATAGATTGTGAAATAAGTTTTGTAAGTTGTGAAACAGGTCAAGACTTTTTCGTCAAGACAGAAAATAAAAATCCAAGTAACTTACACACCCCCCCTTCTTGTCCTGCCATCTGCTCTCACCCTGCTTGTGTATTGGTTAGTGTCTGGTGGTCATGAGCATGAGGATGTGGCTGGCTCGTGGCGAACAGAAGAACACTGGACCAAGCCTGCCTCTCCCAAACTCATGACACTGGTCACTGGCAAGACCAGGGGAGAAAGTGCAAGACTTTTCCCATTTGGAATGCACATCCCTTACATAAACCGGTAGGATGGTGCCCATTTTCCCTCCATAAACAGACTACAGTTTGTTCCCTGATTCCAAGTGGGCCTTTGAAGGATTGCCCCGGCTGTCCGCCCTTCCGTCTGCTTTTCAGCCCAAGCATTCAAGCTTCTTCCATGGTCATCGTATTTATGGCTTCTATTGGTTACCCTTCTTAAGTATATTTCTTTGGCTCCTATGTCCTGCATTTTTCTTCAAGGGAACCCCCACTATCCCAAGACCAGGACTCTATGAAGGGGTGCAAATGATCGTACGTGGCTCAGAGCCAGGCTATCTCAGAACTTCGGGGGGAGAGGTACCTGGTTCATGTTCCCACCCAGGAATGGGGCTCTTCTGTGCTGCAAGGGGGGCTCTTGGGATTTATTTTTCAAAGCACAAATAGACTGAGACCCAAGACGACCAGCTAGAGGATATTTCTGTTGGCAAAGAAGGGCACTTCCTGGTCTGCTGAACTCACAGAGTCAGGCTGGGCCCTCTGATGCTTCACTGCCAGTGTCCTCTTTCTCCGCTGCCGTTGTCCTAGAGATTGGGGTTTTACGTGCATGACCTTGAGGATTACTTTTCGCTCTGAAAACATTTCTAAGATCTTTTAAAGTTTACTTCTTGTCTTGTTCTTCTACAGCTTTCTCCAGGGCAGATACTTTCCCCCATCTGAACCATTGGTCTAGTTACCCAAACTCGTAGCCCTCTCTCTGCCTCTCCCAAGTTAGACCCTGGGGTGGTATTTGTGTTAGAACATCTAATCCAAGTCTGTCTGTGGTCTTTCACCGCATATGGCAGAGTCTCTCCCTCTGTCTCTAAAGCTTTCTAAACCACAAAGAAGCCTTCGCAAAGCTCTGTTCTCGTGCTCTCTTCCGGGTGCTCTATCTCTGGGTGACCCTTGCTCCCAGGTTTGATTCAGGGACATCTTGTGTGTTCACTGGGGAGTTTGAGGCCGGTTTTCCACAGCCTAAACAGGAGGAGCTGAAGAACTGGGCTCTGGTCTGTTGGCATTCTTTTGCATCTTAGCAAGAGACCTAAAATAAAATCAGGACTTCTTCAAGAACACGTCCTAGAATCCCAGAATGTCCAAGCTACCCTGGACTGAGGTTTCTCAGCCTCTACACTGCTGACATTTTGGACCAGATAATTCTTTATTGTGCAGGGCTGTCCTGTGCATCATAGGAGGTTTAGCAGCATCCCTGGCCTCTGCTCACTAGATAACATAAGTACCACTTTCTCCAGTTGTCACAACCCAAAGTGTCTTCACACATTGCCAAATGTCCCATGGGGCACAAAATTGCCTCTAGTGGAGAAGCACTGCCCTAGATCTTACAGGCCACAAGTACTATATTTGAGATATTCTTTTTCCTCCTGTTTCACCCTGATATAACTTATCTCCTGGGACCCTTGTTTTGGGTCATCAAGAGGCAGGTAGGAATATTACTCAAGTGACATTGTGCCCATGTTTCCTCCTGTTTCAAAACTTCTATTTCACAACAGAGTTTCACTTGCTACAAGTATTCTTTCAGTCATCCTTGGGGAAGTTGGGAACAGCTGATTGCCATCACCCCTATAATCAACTCACACCTCTTTAAAGAGCGTTTCTAATTTGATCTTCATCCCTTAGTTTGCCAGGTTAAAAAAAATCCAGCTATTTTCATTATTTCTCATGAGCTCATGGGTCTCATTTTCAAGCCTTTAATTGTTTGAGTAAATTTTTACTTTTTCTACTTTCTGCCTTACACGCAATGCTGATTGTAGAATTTATGGAAGCCTCTGGAACGTGTCTTTTCATCTTTAGGGATGGAGGAGAGAGGGATCAGTTCCAGAAGAGGGATGACAATTTTTTCTTCGTTGAGCTAAATAGAAGAGAGCACGGTCTACTCTCCTTCACTTTGTAGATGAGAAAGTCGAGGCCCAGCGGCGAGCTGACTTGCCCAGAGTCACCCAGCTGGTTGGTGACAGAATAGGGTGAGGCTCTAGGACTCCTGCCGATTGATCCTTGGCCTCTTCTGGTGGAGACTGTTCCTCACTGGTGCTTATGCTGACATGATCCCTACGGATGTGTGGCCAGGGTCAGTTCTGAAGAGGGAGGGAGACTAAGGACCCCCTCTGCCAAAGCAACAGCATCACCCCAATGCTGATGCTGCTTCTCATCCCAAGTGTCTCATCTGACCAGAGCATCCACAGCAGATATGAGAGCTGATGGGCCTTTTCACTGCCTCTGAGGACAGTTCACTGCCACAGGCTCTGAGTCAAATTCCTATTTGCTAAGCATCCCAGCAGCAAAAGTCCTGCACTCAGACCAGCCAAAAAAACAGCCCCCGTTCCGAGCACTTGGTGTTACACGTCCCAAATGACTTTTAAACCCAAGTCTTCTTTAGATTTCAATACTGTAGTGGCTCTAGCCGTTTGTTTTTGTACAACTGTAAATTATTTAAATCCTATGAGATGACAGTCAACTTTACAAACCAGGTACCTATAATTTGTATAATTTTGTATATGCTCTGGTACACTGACTGCACTTGTCCTAACGAAGGGTAGAACCAATTTTGTTTGTTGGTGTTCACACCTGTGACATTAAGAGGATATGTCCGCATCGCTTATTTCTTTATGTTGATGTTTCTGTGGCAAAGCCCTGCACATGTCATTTCTGAAAAGCCTTAAATCTTTGAGATGTTGCGTGTAGGGTATGCAGTGCAAAAGGCTGCCTCGGAACTGTGAGCCCTTTTGTAAGCTGGAAGCATTTCTCTTACTACTGTTACTTTTTTAGGGAGTTTTAAATTCAGAGCTGCCAAAGCGTTCCAGTCAGCAGTGCCTTAGAGATAGAGACCTTAGTCGTGCCGCCAGCCTTTTATACCAGTTCTCCACGTCCACTGACGAATTGGCCTGATATCTAAAACAGAACAAGCGAAAATTGTCTCCATTTTGTTTCGTAAGCCCGTTTTTCTCCAGTTCTATGGGAAACTGACTACTCTCTCTAAAATCTGAAACTGAACCCGAGTCGTTTCTTGACCACACTCTCAAATGTCTATACCAAAACGAAAGGTTTTGCAACTTCGTAGTTTACTATGAAAAGCAAATTGTACTTTTAATGTTGCCTTTTAAATTCACAACCAAATACTTAGCTATTTGTGAATCTTCTGCACTCTAGCATGAAAGTGCCTTTGGTTTGAGATTCCAGCTTAGAAAAGTGCTGCCATAATAACGATAATTTGTAGAGAGACCAAAAATATTTTGAGATCACCGTAATGCCTTTGGTTTACCAGGATGAGTAACCAACCACAGGCCTCCGTTCACAAGAGCACGACGTGGACCCTGCCTGCTGCGAGCCTGTCTGCCGTGGGACTCCCCCCCCACACTCACCAGTAGCACACGGCAGCAGGGGGGACCCCAGGAACTGTTGTGTTCATGTGTGCCGACGTGTGTCACCTCGACTTGTCACCCGTC